ACTTAAAAATACATTTTCGGTCCATTCATGGTTAGTGCATTTAATCTACACTAATAAGAAAACCTTCAATAGTACGTAAGTCATGCTTGTAAAGATATGCGAGTTACTGGTTTATTACTGCATATAATTATAGATCGGCACAATGCTCTCTGGCTTACTATAAAGCATAATTTCGTCTCATTGAATGGTGAAAGTAACATTTAAATTACGTTTCCATTTAATACTTTCCCGTTTCATCCTAGTTATGAATAAACAAATAAAACACTAACACGTTAATCAACGGTCCTTCTTCTAAATGTTTCTTTTATATGAGCATGAGCGTTAAAATTAGTTTGGAATAAGTTTCAGAAAAAAACGAGAAGTAAATGTATAATTTTATAGAACATTTAGACCTAGATACATTTTTTTTTGAAAAAATCTTTAAATCTGCAGAACAAAGCACTGATCACATTATTTCGTGAACATATGTAAGAACAATGTTTCTTTTAATTTCTATCTTAATTAATGAGTTGTTTTTTCTTGAAAATTTCCAATACAACATATACAGAAATCCCTTGATCATAAGATATATCGACAAAAACGTTTAAGTGTAAAATGTATCGTTCAACAGAAATTACACAATACATTCTCTTTAAAATTGTTTGTTAATCATGAATAAGTAAATTACAATGAGGTAATAATTCGTTTGAAATTCATTATATACATTTACATCAATTGATTTATTCATAAGTTATGCCATAAAATACTACTAATCTATTCTTGTATTTTTTTTTCACAAAAATCCATTTATATATTAGTTATTTCTAAATGTTATCGTTAACTTGCTTTAAACAATTCCTTTTTTTTAAACAGGAAAACTATTCTTCTTTTCAAACGTTCTTTTAATGCAACATCAATATATAATCATAGGTTGTATTTGTTAAGGAATAGAATAATAATTATTATTATAACAATAATAGTAATATGTAGAGTAAAGGGAATATAAATTCTCTGTAGAATGTAAAAAAAAGTAATTTCAGTGATAATAATGCAAAAGTTAGCATTTACTGAAGTTTTTTAATTTTATTTAAAGTTTGAAATTTATTTGTTCACATAAACTCAAAGAAAATAATAAAAATGGTTGGTTTTATGCTTAATAGGTTGGTTGGTTGGTTAGTTGATTGTCAAAAATGTCATAGCTATCATGATCACTATTAATGCTTGTTTGTTTTTCTTTAAATAATATTAATTATATTAGATAAAGTTATGGAAGATTGAACAAAGGGAGAAGGAAAGATGGAGAAAGAAAACAAAAGAGAGTGTGCGTAAAAACTCAAATGTGAAATGTAAAAGAAAAAGAGAAACATTTTATCAGATTGTAAAATTGTCCTAGAAATAGAATATAACGATAGAAATAAATGTTATTATTGTTATTACAAGTGTTTTAATCAATCTCTATTGTTTAAGAGTGAGATTTCTAAAAGAGGAAAGCAATACTATTTTAGTAAGTATTTATTATTAACCTTTTAGGTATAGCTTTTATTTAGAGGATCATAATAATTATTATTGTTAGCAATGAAATGCCTAATATATATTTTATTCTGTCTCCATGTAAAATAGCCGTTAGAATTATTTGCCCACCTTTTTATCACTTCTCCAAAAAAAATATATTTGATTCATTTAGAATCATCAAATAATCACACAAAAGAGACCCATGTAACGTATTTATATAACGAATAAAAAAGATTAATAATGAAAATACCTACAAACGCATTTATTAGTACTGTTACAGCTGAAGAGAAAGATGAAAGTTCAAAATTCACCCAAAATGTCTTTATTTTGAAGTGTGATGAATATCCAAAACAAATTTGAATGTAAAAGATAGTGTGAAGTGTACAATCAGATATGATACGAATTGTTAAGTGGATAAGTCTTTTTGTCTATGAATCAATATGTTCATCTTTTTTAAGTACTTAAGTATATATGTATTATGTATTCTGTACAAACACATGTATCTACGAAACCTTTTTCTAAAAAATGTTACGATCAGTGTGTTGGTTTTATTTAAAATAAAACAAAACATTGATGTCAATAATTCGAAGTACTTAAAGTAATATCAAATTATTTATAGTATCATTTATCACTAGCTTTCTTGAATTCGGTGAACCTTGACAAAGAGCGAATGTGCAAAACAATCAGCTCACAAAGGTTAGTGTTGTTCTGATGTTCTATGTAACTCACTAGATCAAACTACCTACCGCCTTCTTGATAATATGGCTTTGTTGACAACAATACTGTTTATGACGTAATACAGTCATAACTAACATCATAAATAAGCATCACGCTACATCGAAATTTCAATAAATCTTAAAATGTTAAACGTTTTATTTCATTCAAGTTGTTTAAATATTATGAGCTTGTTTTGAAACATAAAGTTTCTAGGTTCAGCCCCAGAAGTACTTACTTTAAGTGAAGACCCACTGAATCATTTTAAAATAATATCGACACTTATGGTTATTAATACAAAACAAATGTCCTTTCTGTTGTGCGGAATAATAATTTTTCATGAATTTATGTGTATTATAGCTTTACTGACTTTGTATGTAGGACACAGTTAATGAAATTTAGTACGACTGTTAATTTGGTCATTTAAGTGTATCTTTTTGTATACAAATAATGTTATTCACTGAAATGTTGAAATTAATGAGAAAACACAGTAAAGGATGAATCATCAACATTTCCCAAAAGTCCTCACAAATAAACAGTAAAGAAAAATATTGAATTTGTTATACTTATGATGTGATAGTTATTTAATATCAAATTTAATAGTAAAAACTCATATTAAATAAGCTTGATAGTTGTCAAAGATAAACACAACACAATGATTTGTTATCAACTATTGACAAATGTTATGTTTGTCTAATCGTTAGTGGCAACGTCTAAGGCGGCTGATGTGAGTTTGGATCTCGTAAAAAGTATCAGCTGTATTGGGATTCGAGGTACGCTTTCATAGTGAATCCCGATCAGTATGAAACCTAGGTTTAGTGTTTTCTGTAGAATACTTCCAACTATCAAAGAAGTAAACTGTTTGTATTTGTCTCATAAAACGAAAATCTGCATATCTTGCCATAAGCTTCAATCTTTACAGTTTTATTGCCACTAATGTAAGATGAAATCACTGTTAGTGTAACTAAAATGTTCAAAAAGATTCTCTTATCTATGATCATAATTGATGTGATACTTTTTTATTACCTGTAAATATTACAGTGGACTGTTGTTTCTCTATTTAAAATTATTTAAATTTACGTAACTAAATTGTGTATGTTATCGTTAGAAAATTTAAAACTTTCCCCATTAGATTTAACTAAACTGGAAGCTGCTGACGAATTTATAAAATTAAAACGAAAGTTCAAGTATGCTTGTAATTTTCTTAGATGCAAATGTGGTGTGGACTACTTATATACTTAAGTAGTATATAACGATAGTCTGTACGATAGAATGTAGTTCAGTAGAAAATCGAGAAGGAAAGAAGGGAACAGAAAGCAATCGGTATGAAAATGCTGGAACATTGAAATCTGAGACGATGGACTGATACTTACAAAAGGAACGGTCAAGTTAGAGACAATTGATTGATACTTTGCAAATCAAATATTCACCGTATGGTTGTCAGATCTTAGTGAGATAGTCTGTAATTTTGTGTTCAAATACATTCGATTGTCTCCACTCGTGTTCTTATTCACTACACAATTAATAATAATAATTACTATTATTATTTTTGGACAAGTTTAATAATGCCAAAAATTTGTTTATTTTTTTTGTTTCCCTTTGATTCTACATATTAGTGATATTTGACTTTTCCTTTTACGTCCCAATTTATTTTTCTGTTAAAAATATGAGTTAATTAGTGGGTCAAAGCGTTAGATAAGGAATACATAAAAGTATATTTCCATGATTTCTTATTATTCATTAAAAAAATTCCAACTTCTTTAAGTTTATCGGTATTTATTTTATGTCCCCCACATTCATAAACACTTTTTATCCAAATAACTTACCTTTTTTAACATTGTCTCGAAATTATTTCAAGAAAGTTGACTTTCTAACACATTAGATAATAGTTATTACGACAGAATTTATTTTATAAAATTGTATATAAAGTTATATAGTTAAAAAAAATAAAACTGTGTATGTGGGTTTCGAGATCGTCTTTGTAGTAGACTGTCTCGAGCTCAACCTGAAGGTCCTTGGTTTGGTCTCTGGTAGGATCATGGATGTCTCAAATTAAGAAGAATCACCTATTTAGTTTTACATTTTATTTAGTGGTTCTTTAGTTGAAGTCACTTTGTGATTAACATTGTTTTAAATGTGAACTACTTTCTACAATCATTCAACTAATATGCATTTGTGTACAAGTTATCTTTTCTAAAAGACGGTGTCCTGTGGTATTAAAATTGTTCCTTTTTTACATGCACCTTAAACGCTAATTCTAGTGATTTTCACCCCATTGGTTGAAATAATTACCAAACATCTATTTCTTATTAAATTATTGAAATCTACTGGTAGGTTGTCGTAAACCTAGGTTTCTCCAGTTTTGAAAGAACTGATAGTTGCCGTAAAATTTAAACTCGCGCTACTTCTGTAATCCAAATATTTTGCCAAGTTTACACACCGTCCAAAAATAATGTTCTCATTTTAATTGCTAACTAAGTGTCTCTGACCACATTTGTACTTCAATTCTTAAGCATCTGGCCGTTAGAAGATATACGTATTATTATTTTGAATCTCAAGATAATTTATTAATAACTTGTATAAAAATTTAAACAATGATATCTACATCATTTAGAGCCAATCGTTTGAAAGAATCTGCACCTTATCGATTTGCAACTCGTTCACCTGCACACTGTTTTGTAAAAATAATCCAAACCATCACATTTTGTTTGGTCGGGTTTTATTATATATGGCTACACTAGGGTTTGACGTTCAAAAAAAGTTAAAATGAATTTAGATGCCAACATTTAACATACTTTTATATCTTCTGGTTTTAGTTCCGCAGCATTATTCGTTACAGTATTACCATTTCTGTCCCAATTTGAAAGTAATCCATAATGAAATGATTGTTGACAATTATTACAATTCACGAATTGGTGAGTAGAATCATTAATATAATTATTAGTCCTAGTAGTAGTATGATCCACATTGTTACTTTTGTTTAATTCAGTATGAATATTTCCAAACATTTTATGGAATCCAGACGCAATGAAAACCTTGTCCTTACGAAATAATTCATTCACAGATCTTATTTCGCGACCAGTTAATGAATACAAATTTCTAATAGGATCATTATGCCAGCGTGAACCAAATGCTTCAGTTAGTTCGCACATTACTTGACCCAGTGTATGCACCGATCTTCGAGCCATGATAACCTTCAGTGTACAGAAAAACCATTTTAAAATATATAGCAGTTATTATGACATTATACAACTTATTTATTAATCAAATACAGAAATACAACAAATTATACTGTTTAAACAATTCATTTAATACTGAAAATAGAACCCAGCAAGAAATAGGTGTATATATAAGATAATATAAAAACTGTAATTGTTCAATAATTTGAAATTCTAATGAATTATTTACAATGGTTCTTAAAAACAAAATCACATGGCTTAAAAACTTTAAACTACTGTATTTACTTATTATTGTAATAGCAAGAAGAAATAATATATAACAAGTTTCGTATGTTAGTGTGTGTTCGTATAGTAACTGAAGATGATGGTGTGTGATAAATAATGATGGGCGTGTGCACACGTCTTATCATTCAAAAAGCGTTGACAATACTTCATTCAAAGATAAATTTCTTTATAAGTAAATGGTTCCAAAGATCGTTTCATTTACGATGGCCCTGGTTACCTCTACATTACTGTATTTCCTCCTACGTTTAATTTTATAGTGTCTCGTTCACTGCTTTATGTCCATTTCTATCTATACATCTCACGTTATCTTCAGCTTTTTACTCCTAAATACATTACACTAATATTTATTTATTTCGTTCGCCATATAATCCCCTTTAATGAATCCTTATTATTATTTATAATGACTTTAGTTATACTTCTTGAGCAATAAAATTAAGATCTCTCACCTTATAGTTGTGTTTTTGAAATTTAGTCTTTCATATACTATATGATTTTCAACTAACTTAAATATTCATTTACTGATTATTAATATATTTCATTCATTACCGCAAAGTTCACTTTCACTAATTATATGTACGCGTACTGGTATACATCCGTTTTTGTTAGCTTCAATTTTCTAAAGTTTCTCACTACCGGATGAATGTTAACATGATACAAATCGGGGTGCAAATAATTATTTTTAGTTAATATATCATTTTATTTGATAAATTACATGATAAGTGTTTTTTTTTCTAAATGATTTGTGTTTGTAAATACTTTGTCACAATAAACTCACTTTAAAAGGATTATTTTACAGCGCTTTATACCAAATATCTTTGAACTTACAGTCAAACTTGTACGTCCTTTCCCACCAGGATTACAACGTACAACAGTTATTCTACGTCCGCCGTATTTTTGATTGTCAGTTGGTAAAAGGCGTAGTATTTTTGTTATTTTTACTGTGTTTTTATTATTCAACGTTTTATTAGTATTGCGATCATTGTCAATTAGTTGCCCATCATAACCAGGGACACGAGAGACTTTACTAATATCTAATTTATTTGTGACACTACTGAAGTCCTTGGCATAAAAATTATGTTTTACAGATGAAATGATTTTTAAGTTTGTGCAAATATTATCACGATGATTGATTCCAGGTAAGATTATTTTCGATATGCGAGTTGATTTTGTTAATTCTTTCACTTTAGGCCTCTTAAGTAACGGATTAATTTTGGATAAATCATTCATTTGTATGTTTAGATCTAAAATACACATTTAAAAAAGTATTCGCAAAATTGAATGCTTGTGAATAACTTAATGAATTATAAATAGTTTAAAAACGTATAACATTTTATATCATAACACCTGATCAAGACATATATAAATATGGTGTTTAGGAAGATGTGTTTGTCTCAGTCTGACACCTAGAGAAATGAATATCTGCTTTCTTCAACTTTAGGAGTTTTTGACACTTTCTATCCATGAAATCAAACAATATCGAAGTCACGGTAAGAAGGTTTAGTGCAAATCATGATATTTTTGCCGTTAAGTCAAAACTCCATGGATTACATCTCAAACTTCAACTAATTCGTGACACAGCATAAGCATCATCTAGTGTCATGAAGAGATATCTTCTTTACCCTCAATCTGATGGTACTGGACTCTTTCCAGTATTCGTTTGCGGACGTGCAAAACCGAGGAATTCTAAACAGAAATGTACAACATAGCCATTGCTTTTCACTGTTCAATAGTTCTCCACAAAATGTCAGTCGAATAGAAACTGCTTAATTTTTGGAGATAAGCTTTGAGTGGGTTTCTAATAAACGCAAATGAATATATAATTCAAAATCAAAAACATTCGTTGACAGTTTTATTTTATATAACATATTATGTCGTAATTTGATCACTCATTATTCAAGAGATCTGACTTTTCACTTTTCAAAACTAACTAGCTTTTTGCATATCACATTTGGAAAAAGATCTTGACTTTTAATGTCCATTTTCTTGCACTAATATTTTTGTAACATATGTCTATACAAATCGACAATAACTTTGAAAAATATTAAATGAAGTACACATAAACCACTATATTTGTGAATATTATCAAGTAGTAGGATTCATGAGGCTGGATCCACTTCACTTGAAACTCACCAAATGAATATGTGCATATCTTTATGTCGATGTTCATATTGGGATTCAGATTCAGAGTTTATTACTTTAAACATCAATTATTTATCCATCAAAATATGGTCTGCATTTTCCCGCTATTGAGATTATGAACTTCAATCAATCAATCGATCGCTCTCACAAGTTTACACCCTGAATGGATGTTTTGATATTATGAGGCGAAAAAGTTCGAGTAAATTTTTGGTAGAACTAGACTAACACCCTGAATTACACTAGCCTTCACAGTACAAATCTACCCTAAAACCTGTTTTCATGGGTAATAACGAAACATTTGCTTAGGTCACACGTTTACCAACACATAATAATCAAAATCCAGTCATTGATATCAACAGTGGGATGATGCAAACCCTTATTATTAAAAATAGGTGGATAAAATAAAACTTCGAAAGATCAATCTTAGTGTCATAAATACATTAGGAAAAAAATGCTTTTAGATGTTGTTGTAGCAAATATAATAAAAAAAACTTAACTGAATACCACCTAGTTGTAGGAAACTATACACCAAACTAAAAAAGATGATTACTTGGCCCTCACATACTTTTGGTAAACAAGAAAAGAAAAGCAAGTCATAAACATACGTATCAATAACAAAAAATTCGGAAACGCAAAACAACGAAATTATGCGGATTAACTAAAAGGAAGTGGAATACAATTTAAAAGATCAAGCGTTTATATGTAAATATGCTATCATTATGTTGATCAACTAGTACTTAATACAACAATATGACGTACAGATTTTTTGGCTTGAGGCATTCATCATAAACATTACCTTAAATATTATTTATATCATGTCTTCTCATGAACTTCTTGAGAATTAAGACAATGATGGCCTATTTATACATGAATCATTTACATTCTTCAGTTACAATCAAGATGAATTATTACTTTAAATGATAATACGATTGATATGAAGTGATTAAAACTAGTGACAGTGACTAATTATTGTTCGATGAATTACTAATTGGATGTTTTCTGACATCATAATAGATGAAGCAGTCAAAAAGAACAAAGATAACTACTTCTAGTGGGTGTGTAAACAACGTCTCAGTGTAACAGATACGAAATTAGCTGATGATGGTGATTTTTTATAGTGGATGAGTCAAGAGTGAAATAACAGTGCATGAAATTGTAAATATTGTATCTTGTCTTCAGCAGTATATATCACATTCCTGTCAAAAATAGTCATTCATGCAAATTAACACCATGCTGATCCAAATAAGTTGGTACCTTTAGCGATACTATTTTAACTATCATTTTATTCCAATATACATACAGTGACAAATAAAGTTGAAATCATCTCTCTAGAAATACAATTTAACCTTTTTCCAGAAGCTGATGTTTTAGAAAGCAAAAACACTATGAGAGTCAATTTCTAATGCCAGTTATTTACGCACAAACAAATATTTACAAAAACAGCTCGAAAAACACATATTCAGACATCATAATCAACAAACTTCTTTTAGGTAGTAAAGCACGAGTCATATATATATATATAGTTTTATAGATCAAACAATTCTATACATTAAATGTTTAAAGTAAAACTAATGGTAAACATAATTCCGACGAACACAATACTATATCGCTGACCCTTACGTAGTGAAGCAAAATGTAGACGGTATCACTGTACATACTATTTTTCTAAGACTCTTGAAAAATGTGATTTACTAACAACATTTTGACGATTATTTCTCACCCCATACCAACTTTGCTTTCAAACTAACCTACTTTTTAATTTTATGGCTATTTAATTTAGTCGCTTTCTAAATATTTAATTGAGTGTAATAAACATTTATGCCTCAAATCTAGTCCATTTTGCAATTATATATGTGAAAGACTCATTATATCATTGATGTTTCGTAAAAATACATCAAACGTTCGTCAAGTAAAACTTAGATAAACACAAACGTCGGAAAACAAAGGTTACAAGTATTATGTAGACCTGAACTACATACCTATATCGTACTCGTGCCGAGTTGAACAGAGGTTTTGGGTCTTTAAACAAAGTTAGCAGCCATCAACCTGATACCACTAGACCCTTTAGAAGAATGTCATTGGATTGTTTCGTGTTTAAACCAATAATTTGGAAGATAATTTAAAGTATTTCAAACTGGGATGCCTACTGCTACACTGCAAGTCTAAAATGAGTTTTATTTCTACGATGCCACAAATCACGATCAAAATAGTGCAAAAAAATCTTGCAGATAGCTTTAATGATTAAGGAACTGATGACTGTTTTGAAACTTATTGTTTGATATGATCAATATTGAGATTTTAAGCCATATTGTGTAGTTGAAGTATATTGTAGTTTGATCAAGATACACTCTTTTCCTAGTTATCCGGCAACATTATTTAGTCCTGCCCGAATTGTTGCGATTTAAAATTTATCTTTTCAAAGTGAATACTTATAGAACGATTCTGGAAATCCATTGTTTTTGCCCGATAACATTTTGTTTGGTTTGTGATACTCAAAGACATTGTCGAAAATCGAAATGTCATTTTTCAGAGTATTGTAATACTGTACTTCATAGCGACATTTTCATTCTATGTTTCTGTTTTCACTTATGGTTAGTATAAGCAAAATATAACGTCAACTGCAGCAACTCTGCAAGAATTCTGTCTTTTGCTACGTATAGGATACATACTATCAGGTTAAATTATGGAATTTCATATCGCTTGTTCGTCGGTTACTCGGAAAGCATAGTTTCTTGACCTTAAGTCGTCGTGAATCTTGATTTTATTTTAAAATATGTTATTTCTGCGTAATAAGGACATTTTGTATTATTGAATGACTGCTGACATAAACAACACTTCCAGTTACTTAATTAAAAACATTAAAACTTTCACATAAGCACACGACTACTCTCAATGTAACATAACTTATCTAGATATACTGTATCCTTCAAGGAAAGCTTTGTGGCCGTCCAAATGTTTTGAACGGAAGCTCCACCATTCCCATCAACAACTACATTGAATCATCCCAACGGCTTATGAGTAAACTAGAAAACTTCATTGACTAAACCTGTCATAGAAACGACATGACCTTTTAAATACTATTAGATAACTTTATTCAAAATTACCACCGTGTATTTCAATATGGATAAATCAGACATTACAAAGACTAAACATGTCTGGTGACAATCCCCAAATTTTGAGGATTTCCCCGAAATTTCCCCAAACTTTGTGGAAGGCCACTTAACTTTAGGGATTTCCCAAAAATTTCCTCAAAGTTGGGAGCTTGGGATAATAGGATATTCTACGTAATGACGGGAACAATTTTTTAGAAGAACAACTGCAACATGTTAAATCAAAGATAAAGTTTTGTTGCATATATCAAGCACGATCATTTACCGTTGCAATGATAAATGAGGAATTTATTCAACGTTATAGTATCAAACTTGCAAGACAATAGAACTAACCCTTGTCATCTGTTTTCCCCAGGAGGTATGAATTGTCCAACTTTTGAAAAGGTTCATTACCAGCGCATACATAAAGCCCACCACTACAAAGCTGTGATACTGAGTGCACAGAGTTTCTACCACGTGGAGTTAGAACTCTTTTGATTTTTTGACCCCTTAGCAGAAATTGTGACAACTAGAGGTTCAAAAATTCTAAAAATCTTGTAAATTCGCCATACAATTTTGAATCAACGAGTATTAACTTCCCATGAAAAGAGTAATTCCCGTTTATCAAAAATATTATCCTTTTTACATCAGCTATCTCCGAAAGTTTTATATCACAACTAAGATTGCGATTAAAAGTATCATGACTTTCATACATGAGCACTTTGAAGTGAGAAGATACTAGACTCAGTTGTTATCATTATTCACTATTGAAGTATACATCCCGAAATCTCAAAAAGAATCTGTAGTGTGCGAGAAGTATTCTGATTGACCTAAAAGTTTTTGACGCAGATAAACAAAATTTTCGAAATCCATGGTTATATTAGAAAAGGCGTAAAAGCTGATAAATCGTTTATTTTTGTGTTTCCAACAAATGACTTAAGAGGAAAAATCACCTTATTAAGAGTACCGGAATAATTAAACATTAAGTGTGATGTTAGA